TTGTGTCTTGCTTTCTTTTTTCCTTCTTTCCTTACTTGTGTCTTGCTTTCTTTTTTCCTTCTTTCCTTACTTGTGTCTTGCTTTCTTTTTTCCTTCTTTCCTTACTTGTGTCTTGCTTTCTTTTTTCCTTCTTTCCTTACTTGTGTCTTGCTTTCTTTTTTCCTTCTTTCCTTACTTGTGTCTTGCTTTCTTTTTTCCTTCTTTCCTTACTTGTGTCTTGCTTTCTTTTTTCCTTCTTTCCTTACTTGTGTCTTGCTTTCTTTTTTCCTTCTTTCCTTACTTGTGTCTTGCTTTCTTTTTTCCTTCTTTCCTTACTTGTGTCTTGCTTTCTTTTTTCCTTCTTTCCTTACTTGTGTCTTGCTTTCTTTTTTCCTTCTTTCCTTACTTGTGTCTTGCTTTCTTTTTTCCTTCTTTCCTTACTTGTGTCTTGCTTTCTTTTTTCCTTCTTTCCTTACTTGTGTCTTGCTTTCTTTTTTCCTTCTTTCCTTACTTGTGTCTTGCTTTCTTTTTTCCTTCTTTCCTTACTTGTGTCTTGCTTTCTTTTTTCCTTCTTTCCTTACTTGTGTCTTGCTTTCTTTTTTCCTTCTTTCCTTACTTGTGTCTTGCTTTCTTTTTTCCTTCTTTCCTTACTTGTGTCTTGCTTTCTTTTTTCCTTCTTTCCTTACTTGTGTCTTGCTTTCTTTTTTCCTTCTTTCCTTACTTGTGTCTTGCTTTCTTTTTTCCTTCTTTCCTTACTTGTGTCTTGCTTTCTTTTTTCCTTCTTTCCTTACTTGTGTCTTGCTTTCTTTTTTCCTTCTTTCCTTACTTGTGTCTTGCTTTCTTTTTTCCTTCTTTCCTTACTTGTGTCTTGCTTTCTTTTTTCCTTCTTTCCTTACTTGTGTCTTGCTTTCTTTTTTCCTTCTTTCCTTACTTGTGTCTTGCTTTCTTTTTTCCTTCTTTCCTTACTTGTGTCTTGCTTTCTTTTTTCCTTCTTTCCTTACTTGTGTCTTGCTTTCTTTTTTCCTTCTTTCCTTACTTGTGTCTTGCTTTCTTTTTTCCTTCTTTCCTTACTTGTGTCTTGCTTTCTTTTTTCCTTCTTTCCTTACTTGTGTCTTGCTTTCTTTTTTCCTTCTTTCCTTACTTGTGTCTTGCTTTCTTTTTTCCTTCTTTCCTTACTTGTGTCTTGCTTTCTTTTTTCCTTCTTTCCTTACTTGTGTCTTGCTTTCTTTTTTCCTTCTTTCCTTACTTGTGTCTTGCTTTCTTTTTTCCTTCTTTCCTTACTTGTGTCTTGCTTTCTTTTTTCCTTCTTTCCTTACTTGTGTCTTGCTTTCTTTTTTCCTTCTTTCCTTACTTGTGTCTTGCTTTCTTTTTTCCTTCTTTCCTTACTTGTGTCTTGCTTTCTTTTTTCCTTCTTTCCTTACTTGTGTCTTGCTTTCTTTTTTCCTTCTTTCCTTACTTGTGTCTTGCTTTCTTTTTTCCTTCTTTCCTTACTTGTGTCTTGCTTTCTTTTTTCCTTCTTTCCTTACTTGTGTCTTGCTTTCTTTTTTCCTTCTTTCCTTACTTGTGTCTTGCTTTCTTTTTTCCTTCTTTCCTTACTTGTGTCTTGCTTTCTTTTTTCCTTCTTTCCTTACTTGTGTCTTGCTTTCTTTTTTCCTTCTTTCCTTACTTGTGTCTTGCTTTCTTTTTTCCTTCTTTCCTTACTTGTGTCTTGCTTTCTTTTTTCCTTCTTTCCTTACTTGTGTCTTGCTTTCTTTTTTCCTTCTTTCCTTACTTGTGTCTTGCTTTCTTTTTTCCTTCTTTCCTTACTTGTGTCTTGCTTTCTTTTTTCCTTCTTTCCTTACTTGTGTCTTGCTTTCTTTTTTCCTTCTTTCCTTACTTGTGTCTTGCTTTCTTTTTTCCTTCTTTCCTTACTTGTGTCTTGCTTTCTTTTTTCCTTCTTTCCTTACTTGTGTCTTGCTTTCTTTTTTCCTTCTTTCCTTACTTGTGTCTTGCTTTCTTTTTTCCTTCTTTCCTTACTTGTGTCTTGCTTTCTTTTTTCCTTCTTTCCTTACTTGTGTCTTGCTTTCTTTTTTCCTTCTTTCCTTACTTGTGTCTTGCTTTCTTTTTTCCTTCTTTCCTTACTTGTGTCTTGCTTTCTTTTTTCCTTCTTTCCTTACTTGTGTCTTGCTTTCTTTTTTCCTTCTTTCCTTACTTGTGTCTTGCTTTCTTTTTTCCTTCTTTCCTTACTTGTGTCTTGCTTTCTTTTTTCCTTCTTTCCTTACTTGTGTCTTGCTTTCTTTTTTCCTTCTTTCCTTACTTGTGTCTTGCTTTCTTTTTTCCTTCTTTCCTTACTTGTGTCTTGCTTTCTTTTTTCCTTCTTTCCTTACTTGTGTCTTGCTTTCTTTTTTCCTTCTTTCCTTACTTGTGTCTTGCTTTCTTTTTTCCTTCTTTCCTTACTTGTGTCTTGCTTTCTTTTTTCCTTCTTTCCTTACTTGTGTCTTGCTTTCTTTTTTCCTTCTTTCCTTACTTGTGTCTTGCTTTCTTTTTTCCTTCTTTCCTTACTTGTGTCTTGCTTTCTTTTTTCCTTCTTTCCTTACTTGTGTCTTGCTTTCTTTTTTCCTTCTTTCCTTACTTGTGTCTTGCTTTCTTTTTTCCTTCTTTCCTTACTTGTGTCTTGCTTTCTTTTTTCCTTCTTTCCTTACTTGTGTCTTGCTTTCTTTTTTCCTTCTTTCCTTACTTGTGTCTTGCTTTCTTTTTTCCTTCTTTCCTTACTTGTGTCTTGCTTTCTTTTTTCCTTCTTTCCTTACTTGTGTCTTGCTTTCTTTTTTCCTTCTTTCCTTACTTGTGTCTTGCTTTCTTTTTTCCTTCTTTCCTTACTTGTGTCTTGCTTTCTTTTTTCCTTCTTTCCTTACTTGTGTCTTGCTTTCTTTTTTCCTTCTTTCCTTACTTGTGTCTTGCTTTCTTTTTTCCTTCTTTCCTTACTTGTGTCTTGCTTTCTTTTTTCCTTCTTTCCTTACTTGTGTCTTGCTTTCTTTTTTCCTTCTTTCCTTACTTGTGTCTTGCTTTCTTTTTTCCTTCTTTCCTTACTTGTGTCTTGCTTTCTTTTTTCCTTCTTTCCTTACTTGTGTCTTGCTTTCTTTTTTCCTTCTTTCCTTACTTGTGTCTTGCTTTCTTTTTTCCTTCTTTCCTTACTTGTGTCTTGCTTTCTTTTTTCCTTCTTTCCTTACTTGTGTCTTGCTTTCTTTTTTCCTTCTTTCCTTACTTGTGTCTTGCTTTCTTTTTTCCTTCTTTCCTTACTTGTGTCTTGCTTTCTTTTTTCCTTCTTTCCTTACTTGTGTCTTGCTTTCTTTTTTCCTTCTTTCCTTACTTGTGTCTTGCTTTCTTTTTTCCTTCTTTCCTTACTTGTGTCTTGCTTTCTTTTTTCCTTCTTTCCTTACTTGTGTCTTGCTTTCTTTTTTCCTTCTTTCCTTACTTGTGTCTTGCTTTCTTTTTTCCTTCTTTCCTTACTTGTGTCTTGCTTTCTTTTTTCCTTCTTTCCTTACTTGTGTCTTGCTTTCTTTTTTCCTTCTTTCCTTACTTGTGTCTTGCTTTCTTTTTTCCTTCTTTCCTTACTTGTGTCTTGCTTTCTTTTTTCCTTCTTTCCTTACTTGTGTCTTGCTTTCTTTTTTCCTTCTTTCCTTACTTGTGTCTTGCTTTCTTTTTTCCTTCTTTCCTTACTTGTGTCTTGCTTTCTTTTTTCCTTCTTTCCTTACTTGTGTCTTGCTTTCTTTTTTCCTTCTTTCCTTACTTGTGTCTTGCTTTCTTTTTTCCTTCTTTCCTTACTTGTGTCTTGCTTTCTTTTATACAGATTACAATACAATCTGTGTGGAGTATGCAACACTTCACTTCTAATACATATATAAGACACCTTAATACTTTAAATACATAACAACAACACTCTCTTTTAACATAGTTACTAAACACAACAAAAAACAAACAATAAAACCACGACTCCTTTCTTCAACAGTCTTGGGTTCATCACAAACTTCTTTTCCACTTTTACTCCGTCTTACTTCCAGCATTACTTGGTGACTCCTTGTCTTTCAAACTTATGTTGTACAACTCTAAACAGGACTCTATCCATTCATTCCATATGATCAATAATCTATTTATGTCCATCACCGACCTCTTCTGACAGAAGCCCAACCACACATTAAGTCAGTCATAACATGGAAACCTCTGAGGACTGTGGTTTAAACAACTCTTCTGTGTTGAGGCATGCTCTCTGACGTCACACAGTCCAGCGTGCACCCCTATACATACAAATCCTTTCCAAAAATTTACTATATCCTAAACAACTTCTTTCATTTCCCTAATTCCATTCAGATACTTCAACTTTCATAGATTCATCTACCACAATTTCATCAATTTCAGGTATTTATTTATTTATTTTTTACATAACTTTGGCTTCCAGCTCATAAAACCCACAAAAACTGGATTTCAATACATTACAACACTGTGAAGAAATCATCACGGCATGAATGTTTTAAACTGAGTGTCACACACCAATCATCTACTAAACTCAAAGCACCTGCACAGGTTTCCCCAGGTGTTATTTAATTGCTTTGGTTCAATTGTCTCACTTCGCTTCAATATGGCGAACACTGCAGACATGACAACTTCCCAGGAGACCATCATTGATACCCTCCATAAGATGGGTAAACCTCTAAAGTTTATACCTAAGGAGGCTGGCTGTTCACAGAGTGCTGTGGCCAAGCATATCAATGGAAAGTCTACTCAAAGACAAAAATGTGGCAACACAACATGCACTAGCAAAGGAGAAGAAGGACTGGAATGTTGGCCAGTGGTCCAAGGTCCTCTTTTCCCATTAAAGGAAAGTGTGCCTTTCATTTGCTATTCAAGGTCCAAGGGTTTGGAGGAAGACAGGTGAGGAACAGAACCCAAGCTGCTTCAATTCCACTGTGAAATATCCACAGTCAGTCATGATTTGGGGTGCAATGTCCAGTGCACGTGTTGCTAAACTCTGCTTTCTTACATCCAAGGTCACCTCAACAGTCTACCACAATGCAGATTTCATTATCCAGCAAGACCTGGCCCCTGCTCATACTGCCAGAAGCACCAAAACCTGGTTTGATGCTCATGCCATCACAGCGCTTGACTGGCCAGCCAACTCGCCCGACCTAAACCCCATTGACAATCTATGGGCTATTCTCAAGAGGAAAATGAGGGGCACCAGACCCAACAACAAAGAAGAGCTGACAGCAAGCATCAAACAAATGTGGGCTTCCATAACTCCTATGCTATGCCACAGCCAGATTGCCTCAATGCCACATCGCATCAAGGCAGTGATTAAGGCAAACGGATTCCCCACCAAGTATCGATGATTGATATATCATTTTGAAAGTACCACATTTTCATTGATTTCTTTATTTTCTGCTAAAACAGTATTCCAATTCACAGTATTCTAATTTATTGAAATCCTGTTCTTGTGGGTTTCACGAGCTGGAAGCCAAAATTACGTAAAAAATACACAAATAAATACCTAAAATTTATTACATTGTGGACCACTAATATATCAATGTTTAACTTTCTGAATGGAATTATGGAAATTAAACTACTTTTTCACAATATTCTAATTTTTCTGAAAGGATCTGTACTCGTGCACACGTTTTACATTTTGCATTCTAATCATCTCCAGGGTGTTCCTCTTCATCTTCATATATATCTACATTTCTACTTTGTATTACAAAAAGCTAAGTAGCTCAGCATCTTCAACATTGACATTCAATGCCACACTACTATCACAATCCCCCAACAAAGACAAATTGCTTTTGAAATAACTTTTATTACATCAATAGGCTGAGATCATTCATAAGAGCTTGTTCTTTTTCCTGTGACATTAATTTATTCCATTAAGGTTAGACGGAAGTTATATCCTAAACAATTCCTCTAAATGTGTTGAAAAGCACAACGTTTGCTCTGTAAAACTCCTTTCCCTAAGCCCCTCCCCCTCCACGGGGAGGTCAAAGGTCTGCATAAAACAAACTTCCACCTGCTCTCCGTCTGCTAAAACCCCACCGTTTCTGTTTATTTTTAAACAATAGGGATTACACACGTGATACAATGCAAACAATTCATTTCACAAGTTTCCCCTTCAACACACTGAAGTTGTGCTTTAAACATTACAAAGTGGGTCTGCTATTTCAAAATTACTTTTATCAAAGACTAAACATACATAGTTTTCTTCCACTTAAAGCGAAGCCTAAGCTATCTCGCTACAACTAACACACTGATTCAAAACGCCAACAGTACAAAACAACAATCCAAAAGTCTCTCACCTTTTCCGTCGATCCGCTAATGACTTATAACGCCGTTCACCTGTGGCGTTTCAAACCAGACGCCGAATGATTGTCGCCTCTGACGTCACTAAGCCGCGACCGTTTTTTCTTTCTTTTCCGGTGCATCTTTGTGATTTAACTACTCCGGAAAACAGCGACCGACTCCTCCTGCAGCAGTACTTTGTTTTATTTTCTGCCTGCATTTGTAATAACACATAATCAAGAAGGCAATTACTCTAACTTACAGCTTGAAATGTTTTATAACCAATCAACGCATTCTCTCATAAAGTGCAGTGGACACAATCCATACAGATTACAATACAATCTGTGTGGAGTATGCAACACTTCACTTCTAATACATATATAAGACACCTTAATACTTTAAATACATAACAACAACACTCTCTTTTAACATAGTTACTAAACACAACAAAAAACCCAATAAAACTTATTAATTTGAATGCCACCAATAAACTTGCCTTAGTACTGGCCTCTTGAATCACAGTTTGTCTGTGAAAAAACTTTTGCTAAGTCTGCAAATTAGCCGTCTATCTTTGAGCTGTAGCTGCCCGTTCTTGTGGAGACTATTTACTAGCGTTCTTTGCATGTTTTTTTTTTGCATGTCTTCCGTCAAAACATCTTTCATTGTCCACTCTTTATTTAAGACTCAGCGCTCATTTTTAATGAAGGGCTGAGAATCCTAGGCGACACATTGAAGTCGACAGCAACCTTAATGCATCACACTCAATGCTCAATATCTTTGGCACCATCACCTAGGTAACATGATTGAGGTGTCTTCTAATACAATTTAATTTAATAATATAACGTGGACAAGTTCGGCGGGCCGGATTACAAAGCCCAATAGGCCGTAGTTTGCCCGTGCCTGGTCTGGACTCTTTAAAACTAACAGCTGCTCCAGCATCTGGTCTAAACTCCAGTCTGACTTTGAATGGCTGCAATTTTTTAAACATGAAAACACCACACACTTTAATCAGGACATAACATCGCAATAAAGGAGACATTTGGATCCTGACATAAACGTCCTTTTAATAGGAAGCAGATCACAATCACGCTGCATTCCAAGTCCTCTTCATCCTCATTAAAGAGTGATCAATCATGATAGGAAACAAATTAGAAACGGCCTCAGTACAAAACAATTCTCTCATGCGAGTTTTTGTTTTCACACTACATTCGTTTTGGTTACAGGAGATGTATTCACAAGGCTTTTTCTGAAAAAAGACAAACACTAAACATCGATGACTTCAGTACATTGTTACAGAAATGAAAGTAACAAAACATCAAAGAGACACATGCTGCCACACAAAGTTTCCCATCATGCAAGTGTGGGTTGCTTATTCACAGGGTGGGGCGTCATCGGTTTCCACAGGCTTGTGTCCGTGTGCGTGCATGCATGTGTGTTTTCTTACATGTCTTTTTGTGCTTCGGCAGGAAGGTTTTTTTATGTGTGTACGAGTGTTTCGCGTAAATACAGAAAGCGGGCGACAGACGAGCCTCGAGTTTAATGAGTCATCTTTTTTAAAAACTATGCTTCTTAATATAATTTGTATTACTTTGTTGCTTTTTAAGCTTCTACCCGACATGTCGTGTCTCTTTTGGAGCCTACGGTAGGACAATGCGTGGAAATGCCGAGTGCCGTCAGTGTTGTTTAAAGGACAAATCTGACCACAACGCTCTTGTTGGAGAACCATTTGGGGAAAAAAACAACAACATTTTACCCACAACTGATGTAGTGGTACTACTCGCCCTTGTCCTTTTAAAAACTATGTCTGTTTGTAACACAGCAAACTAATGGGACAAGCTGCAGGACCTTTAACCTCTGCACATTCTACACAAATATTACAAGTACAATGCAACATGAATAAATTCCTGCGTGTCTTCACAAAGAACAAGGACAAATAGCTAGACTCCAAATTACATTAAAGTACATCGATGTACTTTACCAACTGACCTGGAACAACAGCCTTTTGTGTAGTATTTCTTCTGTCAATGTTTCTCAAATGATGGAGGGACATTCACCTCATCTTTACAACAATATATTTCACAATTATATACCAAACAAATCCCATGACACATTGGTTTGGAGGCCTGAACCCAAAGGCATTAATCTGCGTTCCAAAGCTCATCTTTTTTTGCTGCGACATCTTTTTGATGCTGACTAATTGGCCTCTGCTGAGTATCTCAAACATTTAGAGGATTTGTATTGTATAACATTCAACAAAACTCAGTCGAGACAACACGCGACGGGCCAGCTGTGACGAGCGATGGGGCGGCGGGAGGCCGACCTCTCAAAGTTACACATCACCGCAAAACATGAGCCACACGACTGTTAACTCGCTGCCATCACAGATTCATTTAAGCACGTGACCCCAATAACATTCAAACAGCACAAATACTTCACAGTAACTCCCATGGCTTTTTTCTTCTTTCTCTTAAAAAGAACAATAAAATGTTCGTGCACATTTGGTCCAAATTAAGGCAAACTAAATTCAACGTGTTCCTTCTTTTCTTAACCAAAATGTGTGATACAGAAAACATATATCCTCGTCACACATTTGTCAGTGTTACAAATACACTGTATTCCAGTGGATGCTCCTGCAGATAAAACAAAGACACAAACATCTGGAGTATGCAGGAACAATATATTGCTCACTTCATCTTAAAACCAATTTTGTGACACACACAATCATCACTTCTTGTAGTTCTGAAGACAGTCATTTCTTTTACTATCTTACATCAAGGCCTCACCCCAAACCAAACCTCTCTGACCCTCTCTGAGGCCTGCTCTCCAAAGTTGCCCTCACACACCTACAAAGACATGCACATTCACACACACACAGCAGTGTTCACAGAACATTTGTTCTTCAGAAAGGCTTGGATGTTCTGTGAACACACACACACACACACACACACACACACAAACCGCTATTGCCTTCAACACATGGGTTGACAGTGTACATGCAGGTAATCAGGTGATACGCCTCTCCTCGGCTCCCTGTGGATTTCTTATGGCATAAAGTTCAAGTTCCTTCTTCAGAGTGACGATGTCTGTGTCGGAGCAGGTGGAGAAAATCATTTGCAGACAGAAACACTGACAGCATGCGTAAACTGACGTCCCAGTCCACTGATCCTGTAGCCCTTTTTTGGAATTAATGTGCACTCTACATGTGTCAGTGAGTTCAGTAAGTGGGTCACGTAAAGCAAACATAGAAGAACAAAAAGGGTCCCTGGAGTCCTTGTTGACTACAACAGGGACAGAGGAGCACAGATATTTCCTCTGGACACTGATGACAGGTCAGCTTTTTTAACCATTTCGATGAAAAGCTGATCTTCTATCGGTGTTTGATTTTAAAAATCATGATGACAAGATGAGGGGACAGTAGAGGGGACAGTAGAGGGGCAAGGCAGGACACAGGTACACAGAAGGACGGAGCATCAGTCACGGCGTCCTGAAGACACAGAGAATTCAAAGTGCAAAGTGATCCAACTCTTCCATGGACACTGTTCCAGCCTGCTGTAAAATCTAAATTTAAAGCAGGTAAAGTCTGTGATACATTATCAGACAAGTGCTTTTGAAATGGGACAAAAACAAGATGACAGGTGACTTTTGGGTTGAGCTGTCCAAAACTTTAACAATACATATTCATTAACATATTCCTCTGTGTTTGCATTGATACCATTGCTATGTAAATTTTGCATAACGTATGCAGATATATATCATGTACAGTCCAGCCTTTTTTAATCCTGTGCTTCTGTGTCACATGGTTGATCCCCTCTACGTGGGTGTGGCTACTGTCTCAGTATGTGTGCATATCATCGCTCAGTCTCAGCCGACTGTCCGCTCCTTTACGGGCACACGCCAATGTGTGCGCGTGTGTCGCTCACCTGCGTCCCTCCTCGGCCGAGCGCTGGTCCGACTTCAGCTTCACAAACTCCTTGGCCACGTCGTCGTTGTTGCGCTGAGAGAGGATGCGCAGCACGGTCAGGCCCGTCTCGTCCATGTGGACGCGCCTGCCCAGAGGCAGCCAGCAGGTGACGCTGCTCTTGCTGGCGATGTCTTTCACCTGCAGCACGGCCATGCCAACGGTGCGGTCCTCTCTGGCAAAGCAGTAGTCCTTCACACACACCTGGAGCTCGTAGCTCTCCGGACCGACCTCGGTGCCCAGGGAACTGGAACAACATGAAACAGACATCTGGATCAACTCAAACACTACTGTAGACGCTTCACGTCGATTGTTAAAAGTGTTTCCATCCTTGTAGTTATATGTGTTATGTGTTTTACAGTTGACATGATCAAACACCTCGGTGCATCACAGATTTATCTTACCTTTCACTAAACCAGTGATTCTCAATCACTGTGCTGCATTTTTTACTACGACATTTTTAAATTACTTCATAACTTTGTTGTACATTAAAAACGTAACTTTTTTTTTTTACTTGATCCACAGTTCTCTGAACGACGGTAAAACTCACTATTGGAAGCTCTCGTTGAACTTGGGAGACCAGCTGTTGTTCTTGGACTTTGTGGCAAATTTCCTCTTCTTGTCACTCAGGTGGGGGCCGATGATGTACACTTCCACGAAAGGCCTGAAGCCCTGAGCCTTCCACTTCAGGTCGTTTGCAGCTATAACTGGAGCACACACGCAAAAAGGGAGTTCAGTCACAGAAGAAAAGCCGAGGAACAGCCAAAGACTGCGGCGGGAGAACAGCGTCCTCCGACTTCTACCTTTGACGCTGATCTTGTGTTCTCCGTTAGGTTGGGGTAAGATATCCACGTTCATGACCACGTCACCGACTGAATCCAGCCCAGATGCTGTGGAGAAAAGAAAGTACGTCAGGGACTGTCATGTTTGTGTGTGTGTGTGTGTGTGTGTGTGTGTGTGTTTAATAAGATGAGCTCCTGTATTTTGGACTGTCGCTGAAGTTTCTGCAACAAAAACCAGCAGGATCAGCAGATTGTAAGCTAAATTTAAACACTCAGACCCTTGTGTGTGTGTGTGTGTGTGTGTGTGTGTACTTTGCTCCCTCTTTGTGTAAAGCAGCTCTAATGCTGAACCAATAGAAAACTGCAGACACCACTTAATTATTTTGGACAATTTTCTTGACGCTCACAGAACACGAGCACACCTCACTGCTGTCACATGAATCCTCAGATCTCTCTGAAGCTGTGACCTGATTTTTTCTGAAAAGAGAGGAAGAATTGACCGGCGACTCTGCTGAAACCCACCTTTCTCTGGCGCCGTGTCCTCATTGGCTGTGTACCTGATGCCCTTCCCTTCGTGCACTGGTGAGACAGAGAGTGATGTTAAAAATGGATTGGACCACAAACCGTGCATGAAGGTGACAGATCAAATGTGTTTTTAAAAATAAAATGAACAAATATGTTCCAATAACACACAAATGTCAGTAAACAGATTTGGAGTACGAGGTGTAGTAGTAAATGCAACACAACGCTTTTACTTCTACTGGCAGTGCAACTCTCAATTAAACAAAAAAAAACAGCATGTTGAGCAAATTACTTATTTAATCCCATAATCCTATTTAACTTCCACAAGCTGTAATAACAGTGAAAATATGCAGTGCAGCATATTTGTGTGGAACCTGGTGTGTGTGTGTGTGTGTGTGTGAGAGAGAGTGCTGATGTCATCTAAAGTCCTACCCTGTGCGTTCTGCGAGAGGACAAACTTTCGGATGAGTTTGTCGGTGGCCTGTGTGTACAGAGACAGGGCGTAACGCAGAGACTGCAGGTCTGGGCTCTTTTCCAAGAAGGTTTTCTTCAGACCCACACCACCAGCGTGGAAGTATTGCTGGAGAACAGTTAGAAACACATAGTTCTGAGCATCAACCATACGACATAACTCAGTTCTGAGAACTGCCTTGTAGCGTACACTGCCTCCAACGTATTTGGAAACGTGAGCGTTTTAATCCATTTCTTCTATTTATTTGTGCCCATTTTTCCTACTGTTTATGTCCTATAACACAACAAGAAATGGCAAATCAGCCTGCTGTATTTGGGGACAGGAAATGTTGAGTGTCAACAACTATAAAGGTGAAACCTAAGCATACTAGCTCTTTGAATTTCTTGTTCTTTTGGATTTAGTGACCCTTTAATACTTTTATCTTCACAGTCTATTCTGTACCTTAATAGTGTCCAGCGCCAGCTCTATGACTGCACACTGTTTTGGCGTCAGAGCTTTAGCCTCCTCCCGCCCCATGTGCTCCTGTGAAGGATGTGAAACACACAATTCAGTGTCGGTCACAGTTTGTGTTGAAACTGCATCTTGTTCAAACAATAAAAATGAAACTTTATTGTCAAATCACCTTGAGCTTAGACAATTGTCCCAGTTCCTTGGCAGCGTTGAAGATCATTTGTGTGCCCTGTCAGTCACAGAGAGAGACAGAGAGAGACAGAGACAGACAGAGAGAGAGAGAGAGAGAGAGAGAGAGAGAGAGAGAGAGAGAGTCAGACTGAATACAAACAGCTTTGGATGAGAGACACAGAGAAGGGTCAAGTCAGGTGTTAAAGTGAGGACTGGCAGCTGTGACAAACAACTGTGAACGGTGAGTGACGCGTCATCAACACGTCACACCGTGGAGGTCGTATTGGAAACTGACTTCATGTGTCATCTCCAGTTGACGGTGCAGCTGTTTCAACACCCAGACAAAAGAACAGAGTCATGAGCAAGGTGATATAGTGAGAGGGGGAACAGTCAGGTCCCCTGTCGTGATAGTGTTTCCTTCATGCTCTCAGAGGCTGCAAACACACACTCAGAAACACACATACTTACAATAACCTAAAGAGATCAGGACAGTAGAGAGGGTGGAGCAGTGACAGGACAGATGTGTTAATGTCCACAGTTAGATATGAACAGCACCGATGTGAGTGCGTCACATTTCATTACACGCACACACACACCGTCTGATCCGTGAGCGTGGGAAGAACGATGGTCTTTTCCATGGTGTTCATCACCAGCTTCCACAGCTCCTTCAGGACTCTCTTCAACACAGTCTTCTCACAGATTTTAGCAAACAGCGACAGACTGAAGGAAACAGAAAGACATCATGTGGACACCTGTGCCACCGAACATTTGTACATTAGAAACATAGAAAAACACCACAACACAAGGGAGAAGGGAAAACAAGTTACCTAATACGCACACTAAATACTTGTGACAGTGTGAGTTGTTTCACATTAAATACACAATAAATACATAAACACTTATAATAACATTTGGCTTGTTACCATCATCAGACACCACCTCAGTGAGTATTTTGGGATAGAAAACTGACAAAGGAACTGTCTGCAGGCTACAATAGTTCTTATGTCACATTTGGTGTGTTTTTTTTCTTGCGTTAAATGTTGTCAAATATACTTTGGTCATACATTTATTGAAATATTTCAGCAGCAAACACATATTCTGCTGATGTCGCTGCTTTTTACTTGCTGTCCAGGAAGTCCATGATGGGCTGTAGAACATTGTCAGCCTCCTGGACCACACTGCCATTGGCTGGTACCGTCTGACCTTTGACCTGGGCCAGGATATCTCCCATCTGTCTGACGTTGTCTGTGATCTGGGGCTGGAAACTGGGTAATCAGACAACAGCGTGAGCGACTGAAGCGGTCTGCTGCACCGTGTCAATACGTGAGGGAGCTGCGGTGACGCTGCACGCACCTGATGGAGAAAATGTGGCTGAGGTCATCCATCACATTGTTCAGCTTGTTCTGCAGCTCCTTCAGGAAGTCACTGGCCTCCACGTTGAGCTGCAGGAGGACGAATGGGTTTAATACCAGGCTGGTGTCGAGTGTTTGAACGATCACGGCAGCGACAGCCGTTACTGAGACTTACATCTTTGCCTCCCATGGCCTCGAACATCTTCTCCAGCTGAACTCTGAGCTGCTGGATGTTATTGATGATGATACATGGCTGAGCCGAGAGAGAGAGAGAGAAAAAAAATCATTACACACACACACACACACACACACACAGCTTTTAATTGTAATCAATCAAGGTTAGTCCTAACTTTTTTATTGCTCTATTGGCGAAAACACTTAGTGAAGCAGGACAGGAGCAGGAGCGGTGTTCAGTAATTACTGCTCCTCTGTGGGCTCCTGCTGTCTGTGGGAGAGGAGCCCACTCTGGCCCCGGTCTACACCACATTCAACTAATTACACAGCTCTAATTTATTGTTCTCTGGATATTGTAACCAGAGTTTGGCTATTACACTGAAATATACTTTCAAGCATTCGAATGAATCCCCAGGATCACATGACAAACCACAGTTAGTTTTCACTGAACATCACACAGTCGCAGTTCACACAGTGAACATGCAGTTAATAACCATATCTGTCATTTTCTAATTGACTTTAATCTGTTATTTATCAAGGATGGGTAAAAACTGTAACCCAGAAGGAGGGCTAATCATTTTTACATTTATTGTTAAAGCAA